TCAGCAGGGACATCCTAGCTAAATGTAACGTTTGCAGAGACAGGTTGCTGTGAGGTTGTTGCATTGCTCAATGATAGACACCAGTCAGGAAACGACTGATCCAGTGAAGCGAAGTGCAAGACCAATCTGTGACAGACAACTCTGCCTACTGATTGTCTGGGTAGACATGCTGTGATCCTGACCTCATCACGCCCCTGCTGGGAAGGTAGCAATGTCAAGGCTGTGTCCCCTGTACGGACTGTTTCTGGCCCCAGAAATTATGGCCATGCTGGGAGGCAGAACACGGCTCATTCCTGATTCGCATTAGAGATGTCACATGCTATGGTCCACAGAAACTGTGCTATAAGACTGCTTGCTGTAACAAGTTTTCCTGATCCATTGTGGATTTATTCAAGGAACAAATTTAAAAACTCCCTATGCTTCTTAGCTATTTTCAATTTAAAATCAGATTGTGTTGTGGAAAATGTATTTATCATCGTGACCATCAAGTTAAAGGGAATTACAATGAGAAGATACATCCTGACTTTTTTGCTCTGCTCCCAAGGGAGTTTCAGAATTGCTGCTATGACCATGTGGGTTGTTCTTGAAAGAATATGGAGGGCAGCTAATAACCACTGAAAGTTACTAAGATATGGGCAGCTAATTGCTTCTGATGCTTTTGAGATTATCCACAGATAAGCTTCTTAATGAAGCAACAAAGCTGTAAAAATACGTCTGAATTGTTCAAATTTACATCAATAACTGGTTTTAAGTCAAAATAGTTGTGGATTAAAAACTGAAAGCATAAAGCTTTCCAAATGAGTTTTTTCCAGATTAGATGTATAGCAAAAAAGATATTTGATGAACACTTTTTCTTAATTAGCTAAGATTTTATCATATTTTTCCATTGTGAAGTTAAATATGCTAATGTTACTTGTTCACTTAATCAACCAGCCATCGCATCAGCAGTTTCTTTCAGACATTCTTATGTTCTTCTCTAGCTTTGAGATGTATCTGAAAGACTTTTAGGAATCATCTTGTAACATCAAAGAAAATGACCAGTAGAAAATGACAGGTGTTCCCATGTGCCTGAGCTCTGCAATTTTTTTATTTCTTTGGGATGTATGGTAATCAATTCTACCTTGAAATGGGCAAGATACATGTGTGCATGTAGTCCTCATTTCGGCTCTGTTGACACATGGCCACTTGTAATGCTGCCACAGCACACCTGTATTATATCATCTCCCTGGCTCTTGAACATGAGATACTATGCAGTCATCTGCAGTTCATTGCCATCAGCTTTGAGACCCAGGTATAGGAAAGATTTCAACTACCTTTGTGCCAATCTACAAATGAGCTACAGCAGGGACTGCAGAGATGTCAGTGAGAAGTCAGACACATCTCGGCTGACTCTAAAGTTCTACCACATGCTGGGCCTTCCTGGGAACTCCACAACTGTTTGTGCTGAAAATGCACACCCTTTATTCCCCCTTAAGCTCATGTGCTGGGCTTTTCCTCTCAGAAGACACCCTTACAGTTGTCCTTTGCATCAGGGGAATTTCCCATTTGATCCCATTCTCCCTTTCAAATTTGCAGCCAAGAGACTTAGACCTTTGCCCCCTTCCAACCCGTTATGAAGTGTAAATGTTGGAGGGCTGGTGAGGATCCTGTGATCCAGTTGAAAACACAACTTCAGTAGTGTTGGCATCACTCCTTAGTCACCCATTACCTTCATTCTGGGTCATAAATTAATTAGGAGCATGTTGCTATGATCATAACAGTTCTCAATGGCAGCACTTAAATCTAGCTGCCAGTCGAAGGAATGCAGGAACTGCTGTGCTATGTCTGGTGACTGCAGGTTTGAAGAAAAGTGAATCCAGTGGAAGTATCGATGGATGCAAAAATTACTATCTATAGACCTGGAGACTAAAAGAGTAATCTGAGCAGACAGTAAGTTTTTTCCACCCTCAAGCCCAGCAACTAAAGGCTCATTTACATCTGAAACAGAACGCTTTCTATCCCATAACCCTGTTTAAATACTTGTGGGTTTTTCCCATTATTGGGCTGAATGAAAACTCACTTGAAGCAATGGGAATCTCAAAATTAATTCCAAAACATTTCTGCATCAAGACCTGAGTATCTTAACATCTAATTAATCTTTGAGTATTACAGAGTCCACTAAAACCTTTGTGGTAAAGAGTTGTAAAAATGTCTTTGTTCTTGTATAACAAAAAAAATCCACATTAGCTCCACCCAATTTATAAGTTTGGGCTTTTTTAATAATGATTTTCTCCTTAAACTGTGTCCTCAGTATCTCTGTTCTTTACTTGCATAAATCCCTACAATGCTGCCAGTACTTTTTCTCTAGCCTCCTCATAACTTCTTCCATATTTTCTATGAGACAGTGATCAGAACACTCTGTCCCAACCAGAAATGCTTCTTCATTCATTGGTGCCATTGTAGCACCACTATTATTTGTCATTTTCCTTTTTATTAATCTTAATATGTGCCTTGTATTCAGCAAAGATGTGTCCTCAGTGCTTTATAAACCTATTTTTGCTAGTGCTACTGCTGAACATAGAGTACCTGGAACATCTGTGTTGGTACAGAGTATGACAGCTATCAGTCAGTACAAGAATGACAGAAAAACAAAACAGTGAGCAAAGCAAACATAATGACATTTATATTTAAGAGATCACCATTCGCAACCAGGTCTTTGTGTGAGCTTGCTGAAATGTTCTGGAGAATGCCATTCCCTAAGCAAGAACAAGAGCTATTCAAGCAGCAAAGCACTGAGCCAGAAACGTCGATGACGGAGGTACCATCTGCATGGGGAGGAAGGAAGAGCTGTTCAGTCCTTGGCCTCATTCCAAGCCTTTTTCTTTCTTTACACTTAAGAGGATGCTAAGTAAATGTAAATTGGACTACTGAGCCCTGGGGAAAGCTATAGGTTAGTATACAGAAGAAAATGTCTCTTAATAGCCATATAAGCAAGCGTGGCAGTATGTAAACAGATCTTTTAAAAATCTTTTTTACCTTTTTTTGTATACGGAGGAGCTCTGTTCATTCTCTCATAGCATTTGAACTGTGAATCTATTATCTTCTGCCGTATGACTGAATTTTCAGTTACTACAGGCTCTAATGTAGGATCAGTATAATTTACAGTAGAAGAAAGACTTGGAATCATTCTCTGTACAGAAGGGAAAAACTGTTAGTACAAGTGAATACACCAGAAGGATAAAATAAAAAAGTGAGGATCAGAAATCTATTATGCGTTCTTCAAAGGCCCCTTATTTGCACATGTGTTCAGCATTAGGATGGGATAAATCAGTAAATGCTGAATTTTTACTAGTTTACCTTGCTATAAACTCAGGATTTTAACCAAGTCCTTTTTCTTGGAAAAACAGAGGACCATTAAATACTTGATAAAGTCTTCAAGATTTTTTCATTTAGCTTAGTGATCTGCAACAAAATTTTGCATCTTCCCAAAGTTACACCCATGTATTTCCGCTTGCTTTTGCTGATTTCTCTCCAGACAGTTCAGACAAAATACCTCAGTGCCATAGACTCGAAACTGATTACTGCATATTTTATGCCGCCTGCTTTGAGCTCCTTCAACTGTTAAGGTAATAAAAACAGAGGGCAGAGAGTTTAAGTCTCACTGCCTGGCCTTAGCTCTTAGTTAAGTACCTAAATTTGAGTCTCAATAACAAGGTCATCTTTGATCAACTGGCATCTTCTGACCTCTTCCACTCTGAGTTGCCTGCAGGGCAAAAGGAAGGACTGTGCCCCTTGGAAGGCAAAAATCTCAGACAGAGAGGTCAGTTATCTTTTTTCTATCCATCCACTCCTCTGTTGCACAGCCTAGGTGTGTGAGCCAGGGTGGAAATGAAAGTGTGGAGCTTCAGTTAATTCTGTTCTGCCTTAATCCTGTATCAGGACACTTCTCTGCATGAAGTGATAGGAAAGGATTAGTTCCTCTGCTTCCTCAGCAAAAGCAATGCTGCTGTGGCACTTTACTTTTATGACCCTTTACTTTTTCCCCATACTAACCCATGCTAAAACTATCACAAACACATACAGAGTCATTTACAAACTGCTTCAAAATTTAGGACTCTCATAAACACACAGACTTCATGTTTTTAGCACCAAATACTAGTATGCAGATATTTAAGCAACCATATGTAGTTGTTCAAACTGAAAACGTAACAGGTTTGAAATTTCAAATAACAGGTTACTTCTTAAATTGTTGCTTTGCCTTTTAATTGCACATCACAAGCAACTGTACCTCATTAATACATTAACTTATTTTTCATTTGCACAGTTAAAACACGGTAAAATACTCAACAAAACCACAGCATGTTTGACTTAGTAAAAAAAAAAGTCATTATCCTGATACTTCTGTGACAAACCATGTCAGTTTAATATTTTTATACTCATATAACAAATTATTTTTTTCCTAATTTAATCTAATCTTTTTTGATACTAACATTTTCCTTTTTAATTGTATAGAGATATTGTCTGAAGACAGGAGAACAGTGAAGGCAGTTTATGTCATTGCACTTAAATAGCTTCTTGAAATAAAACTGGACAAATAAGAATAAAGATATTATTTTGGCAGATACAACTTCAAATAAATTTTATGTGTATGCACATATAGATATACTTGGACAGTGAAGCCATTTGGAACAGTTCACCTTGCCATCCAAGTGAAAAATTAAGTATCTAGAAAGCCAGAATAGGAAATACAGAAGGAAAGCCAAACATAACACAGAACCTTCACTTATGAAAAGATTAAAGGGAGTAGCTGGAGTCTATGAAGATCATTTAAAAAACAACCGAGCGATATCCTAAATCCAGCAAGAAGAGTAGGAAAGTGCAGATAAGGTTCTTCGGATGCCCTTAGTCCTTCGTGTGTATGTATCACCACAGGTTTCTGTGATTCATAGATGCTCCATGCTTTTTTTTTTTCCTTTTTTTCTTTTGAATAATACCTCAGTTCACACATTTTTTAAAAGGACAGACCATTCAGAGACTGAAGACACCTTACTCTTAAGGGTCAATTTCATAACTTGCTGTGTGTAAGGGACTAATCCAATTCCTGAATAAGTCAGTTCTTGTTGGGTACAGATTAATGCCAATACTTTAATACTTGGAGGCAGAGGGTTTCTGTGGTGGTGGATAGGATAAATGTCTTGGATTGTGCTCAAAATTACTTAAGGTGCTCAACCATGTAGCCAGGAGGACTGCCCATTCTACTGCTTCTGAACAAGGCAATCATGGCTCACTTGAAATTGCCAGCATTTCTGTTGCCTACATTTGGGCCAGGAATTAACTCAGAAAGATTAAAAATATGGAGGAGGCTGTGTTCCTAAAGCTAAATGGAAATTACTTCATCAGTGGAAATGACTTAATGGCCTACAGCAAATCTAAAGCAAGTTTGGATAAAGGCTGGAATAATACTATTAGATTACAACTGACTCTTAAATTATCTATTTCTTTTTCTTATTACCAAACACAAAGGCTCAGATTTTCAAAGTTACTTACACACAGATCTTTCCAGGTGCTTTTGTAATACACAAATAGTTTGTGTGTGAAATCCAATTAAGGAGTTATACTTATGTGTGTTATTCGTATTGCTCATCTGTGATATGAGCCCTTTAAATGTACCATTCCCTTTGACTGCAATTACTCATTTCTGTTTGCCTAGATTTGAAAAGCTGGCCATGGAAATTTGAACAATATTTTCTTCTGCCTTAAAATCAGATGACCATTTTGGCAGACGAATGAAAAATAAATTTGGCAGCTTGCTGGAGGTTAGGCAGTCACACCTCTGTCTGCCATGCTGGTGTTTTCTACCAGGCATAGGAGGATCACCTGTCCACCACCACTGTGGGACTCGGACCCTAAAGCCTGACTTCCCCAAAGTCAGCTGAGTGGGCTGACAATCCAGCCTTATATTCCTGGGGCTCAGTCAGACAAAAATCTTGGTACAGTTTGTGAAGTCAGATATTATGGTTTCATTCTCCTTGCATTCCTTACCACAGGGGTCAGGGAAGAGCAGATGGGACAGGAAGGAGTCTCTGGGTCACTATCCTCTTACCAAAGGTAGCAGAAGCCTAGGCATGGCTATATGGGGGTAGAATCTTAGTGTGCAGCATTCTAATGGGAGAGGCTGGGAATATCCCACAAGTCTCTACGTGTGTGTGTGCTCTCATCGAATTAATCATTATAAATCACTTTTGCTACTACATTTTCATGATTATAACTAAGTATTTTAGGAAGTAAGTTTAAAACACATGTTTTTACCATAAAAAAGACACAGTTAAATATTTTTCACCTGGTTTCTACCTATCAAATTTTGAATGTTCAGAGTTCATTACTGCACATTAAAAACACTTCCCATCCATCCATCAGTTACTTCAGATGGAAATGTAAATGATGTTGATACAATAAAAGAATGCCTCATGCATTTATAAATTCTCTTTATTAAAGTGAAATAAATAATTCACAACTTATATAATAATCAGAATGTGTTCATAGCCTGAAAATGATTGGTATGATTTCTTCAGAAGAAAACTGTTTAAGTGATGTCCCATGTAGCAGTTTAGCAGCCGTACATATGATGTCACTCCTAAAAGTCCAAGTAAATGACGTCATACATACGACCACCAAGCCACCACGTGACAAATGACTGTTATAAGAAAATGAATTATCATTACAAAGAGAAAAAACAGGCTGTTGGGAATGCTGAAGTTCACTTTATACCTGGAATTAAAAAAGGAATCTAGAGAAAGCAATTGGACTTCATTATTAAACCATATCAAAATTAAAAAATAATGCCCCTGTTTCTGTAAGACAGACACCTGCTACTAACCTGTGCATGACTGTACCCATTTCTGAAAGACAGATTCCAGATGAAGCAAGCATAACATTCCTTCTTTTTTTTTTTTTTTCCCTGCCACAAAATATTGGACATGATGAACAAGCATCCCCAGATATTTTTCTTCCACCATCAAGGAGCTTGAAGTATATTAACTGTTGACTTTACATGACATTTAGAAAAAGAAGGTATTTGTAGCTTTCTTTGCTTTTGTTTTTTACCTCCTCCTAAATTTAGTAATTTTGCAAAATTTATTGTAGATTTCAGTTGAAATACATTTCAAATTCTGGATGCTGTAACTGTCATTGATTTCCATAGCTCAAGCATTCATTTCGTACATTTATTTTAAAACTGCTACGTGTAGTGACCACTTTGTAGGTCACTAAACTCCTGTTCTTCAATGCATCCCATCTTTGAGTGAGACCTCAGTGTGATTCAGACGGCTTGCAAAGGTCCTCTCGTACATCAATTATGTTTGAATTACTTTTCACAGCTGCTAATGTGAGAACAGAGAGGAAAATGACTGTGATGCCTTAGGAAGGTCATTAGTGCATGGTACTCAGTAAACATAAAAATAATTTCTTATCCATGACAAATGTGCTAGAAAATAGCAGACAATTTCTTTGGGGAAATACCTCATCATGCCATGTTTTACTTAACCACTGAATGTAGAAATTTTCCCATACTCAATTGCTGTTGAAGCAGGATGGAAATGATCTCATAGTGAGATCCCATATGGCTTACATTGCAGATTTTTGGCAACTGTTCAAACAAGCATGAGATTATCAGCCACAGCAGATAAAGACAAGGGACTTGTAATGAAAAGCAACTCACGAATCTTATAGTTCTTTCCCATTGCTGCAGCATTTGTGAGGAATCTTTACTCCCAGAGTAGCCTTATGCAAACTGCAGGCTTAAAGAAAGGCTGCAGAATACTTCATGGATTTTTGCTTGCAGGTCTGATTATCATCCTGTGAGAGGCCTCTTTAGGGCAATCAGCTGTATAGCAACATTCCTACTTTTTAAAAAGCAAAGATGGAGACAAGAAGTCCTGATCACCCCGAGTCTGAGGTTAATAGGACAGAATACGGCATTACTCTCTCTTGGGAAACTGTGAGGAGTTTGAGTCTCAAATTCTCACACCAATTCTCAGCTTGCTTTCCCGAGTTTTCCTTCTGTGAGAAGAACTCCAGAACTGGCAAGTCCACTCCCTTACAACCTTGAAACATTCCTTTCCTTGAAAAAGCCCACAGTTACAATGAGAAATGTGCACTTCAGAACAACAGCTTATGAAGACATAGTCTCAGGCTCTGAGACCCTGTGGGTGCCCAGCAGTACCTGACAGCAAGCAAGGCTCTGATGAAGCATGCCAAAGGAGGTTGGGACAGATTTTCAGCAGCAGTTCTGGCTCACCAAAGGGTAGAATCTGCTCTGGACCAGATGCTGGAAGAGACATTGTCCAGGCAGGAAAAGACCAAATGTGTACACCACGAGCAGTGCCCTTGTCACAGTGGCAAATGTTTTACTAATTGGCTTCTGGAGAATTGAACCTACCACAACAGTGTTCCCAAACAAGCCAGTTTGTGCAGTTACCAAAAATTACAGTTAGGCTTTCACATAATTAATTTTCCATGTTTTGTGAATTGGAATTATTCACAAGCCGTTCAGGAGGTGACACAATGTACCAGACTATGTATAGTTTAGTGACTGAGGCTTGGTAACAGTTTGACAGATTTGGACTTAATGAACTTGTACTCAAAATGAATTTATTTTAAAATACAATCTTGATCTAATGGTCCTAGGTGGTATTCAGCTGCAGCATCCATTTTGTCCTTTCTGAGCACTTTGTGGCTCGCTCAGAACAACAATATTTGAATATGTGAGAAAAACTGCTCCATCAATCCTCATTTACAGGCTAAAATCAACCCACCATCTGTAGGCACTAGATGAAAATTCTTACTTGATAAAATCAGGTAGAAAACAGAACTATCTTTTCAAAATGTCCCACAAAATTTATTGGTCACACAGGAAAGAGACTCAAGCTTGTTTCCTCCTCCTCATTCTCTGCAGTTTGGTGCCCCTGGACACACTGTGCTGATGCTCCAACTTTCCTGAGGAGGGAAACGTGCACTGAAGAGATGAATTAATTGCTCCAGTGCACAGGGGCCCATGTACTTGAGGAAACAACTCTCAGTCACATTCTGTGGCTCTCAGTAATTTCCAAAAACAAGTCTGTATCAAGAATAAAGTGAACTAAGAAATAATGAACAGTTAAAATTTCTAATGGAATTAACTTTGAATTGCAGAGGACTATCTGGTGATACAATAACGTTGTTATTCTGCATCCAAAAGCAAGGGAAGCCATCAAAGAGGAAGACAATAAGGAGTTATGTATTTCTAAAATAGGTTTTGGAGCAACTGGTGCTCTAAGTTTTGTTTGGCAAAGGCAAGTTATTATGGACCTGTTCACAGAAGAGTAAAATCCTATTTATTCCATATAAATAATGACATATGTAAGAGAGAGGGATTCTGTCAGAAGATACCAAGAACCTTTGGTGACACGTCTAAAGGCTGGAGACTACGGGCAGGGGGGTGGTCTATGGACACCTTGTAACTAGGGTCTAGGACAAAACATTCAAGGAGATATAAGGGATGAAGTTGGAACCTGCAGTGGGACAAATGGCATAAAGAGAGAGCCTGAAGACCAGAGGGGAAAGCATGGAGTCACACAGACAAGAGGATGACAGTAAGCCATTAAAGCCATCAAAGGAGAAAGACCTGGAGGATGGTTTGAGGGGTGGGTAGAGAACAGGACTGGGAGATCACCCCTGCATCACAAATCAATTTCATTACTGTAGCATCCTCAGCCTCAGACAGTGGCTGACATGTAAAATCCCAAAGACTCATGACTCTGGGAATGGAGAAGTGATTAGATGAACTAACAGAGTGGGAACAGTCTTTCTGGAAAAGAAAGAAAGACACCCTTTGCTTGTTACAGACCACAAATGAAATGTAAAAATGAATATTTTCTACCAGTAACAGGTGGGGAAATTTTTTGAAAAATGACCGATTCCAAATATTTTTCATACTTGATCTAACAGCAGTGTTCTAGCAAGTTTCATAAACAGAACAGAGCTTGTTCATAGTCTACTCCCATGACTGTGGCTTCTCCCTTACTGGAAGATAAATAGATCTAGGAGGTGTCTAAGCAGATCACAGTATGGATACTGCAGTGGGGAAGAAAGGAATACAGAGATTAGAACAGTGAAAATGTAAGGAAATCTGTGCTGAATTTACCCACTGAGATCAGTTGTCTGAGAGCCCTCTGGTGTAGAGGTATCTAAAAGGAAGGGTTTGCAGCTCTCACGGCTTAAAGAAAGATTTCTTAAATAAATCCTGGCCCAGGAGTACTGCAGGAATGAACACAGAACTAACGTTGCACACTTTCTATCATGGGTTAGAGATTTAAAAGATTTGTGGACAAGAGGGCGAGGATCAGTCCAGTCGTTCAAGGTTGACCTATAAATCCATGCTGTGGGTCAGAGCACCACAGATGCTCACAAATGCTGTTGATAAATTTAGTTATCAGAATATTTACAGTCCTGTCACTTGATTGGGGAAGAAAAATAATATGGAACTGTTCCTTGAGTTGGCATTGGCTTGTGATGGGAGGAATCTCTGTTCTTTGCCAAGGCCCCTGTCAGGCTATGCAGAGCAGCTGGGATGCAAACTCAGAAGGAAGCTGGTGTCTGTCGGGCTGTTTGGTTAGAGTGATCTCTGACCATGGGTGATGTTCCAGTCAGTGCATTGCTACATGCAACCCTTGCAGGGCTATGAGTAACAGCCACAAAAACAACCAGAAAATATCAGAATGCTTTGATACACCTCAAAGCAGAAGACTTTTGCCAAGCATACAGAAGAATCCTCAAATCATTATCTAATTCTGGATTAATTACTTTTGAGACTAAGTTAGCACAGATGTTAACTCTTCTCTGTTCTTTCTCCTGCTCTCCAGCTCTTCTTTGGTTGAGGGTCCTAATCCTGAACTATGAATTCAGTATTTTACTGAAGTAAGGTGCTCTTTGTAGCTCTTCTGGAGAGAGAGAGCTTTTTGTTTCCTTTTGTTTTTCTATTTATTTCCTTCTATTCATCATTCTCTTACTGCCAGTTTTATTATAATTGCTAATAATCTGAGGTTTCACAAGTAGAGACCAGAGAAAATATTCAACTTACATGAGAGGTTTTTAGTAAAGTAGAAATGAGTTTGCTACATAGAACAATAGTTACTCAGCCAATATAGAAATAACAGTAATATTGATATTAAACAGTTGAAAATAGCATTTGAACTGAATAACTAAACTTTATACAGTCATTTTCCATTTCAGTAGCTTTCCTAAGAGCAGAGTAACTATAAACAGTGATAATCCACAATTACTTAAGTCAGTCTGAGTCTCACACAATGTTAAGCAAATTTTCAAACACAAGTTTCCATATGACTGATATGTTGTAGCCTGTAAAACACTGAAATGAATAATCACACACATTACTCTTTTCAGACTTGCAGTTCTGTCTCACGAAGAAGCAATTGTTTCAAGTTCAAAATTTATGAGATATCTTACTTATAAACTTTATTAACCTTATTTAGATATTTATCAGAAAGGCAACTCATTCATCCACCTGTGCAGTATTACAGATGTAACTCAACACTCCTTATTTTTTTGAACATCACCACAAGGTTAAATTTGGCAGGTGTCAATAAGCAGTTCAGTTTTCTCGCACTTACAATTAGAAGGATGATCAGTAAGAAGCAACTCTGGGTTGTTTTTTTCATTGTGGAGTCTTCCTGGAGAGACATGTAGCTGACCCTTCTGGGAATCAAACAACAAAAATAAAAGCAGTATTAGGCTTTATTTGTTAAGATAAATTCCTTGTTCTCATATATGAGCATCTTTTTGGCCTTAAAGTGCACTCTGCAAGTGTGTGAGTGTGTCCCCAGTCTGGCGAGTGCTCATGTTTGATTTCATTGGAGATGGGTATGCTTTTAATTTGGTCTCCTCTGTGGATCTCTGGTGGTGAGTTCAGCTGATGTGGGTACGGCTCCAGGTTACTGTCTCCAGCAGCAGATCTGGGTTGAGCTCTGTGTCGAGCTCTGTGTCTTTGCCTGCTTGGTTGTTCTGATTCAGCTGCTTCTAACCTACACATACAGCTGCAGACCTATGAAGAATCTGGATATTTTAAAAATTACCTAAAAACCCAGAAAGATCCGGTTCATAGATAGGCATAATGACAGCTCAAAAGGCATATTAATAGGACAAATTAAATAGAGAAATCCAGAGGCCGACTAACCTCTAGCTAGGTGAACACACAAACGTGGCAGGAAAAGAGAAATTGGGAATGACTTAGATTAGATCTGCTGGCAAAGGAACACCACCGTGGGATTTCATACTCCCTAATGCAGGTAGCTCAGCAGGGCTGTGGATAGACACACGGCAGAGGAATGCTCAGGCCATCAAGAATGGACACTTCAGCTGCAAAAAGTACTGAAGAAGCAGAGCATGGCCACAACCTCACAGGCTTGGAGGAAACTGAATCAGCAGCTTTTCAGTTTTCTTATTTTTCCTAAATCAACATCCATCTGGCCTTTCTGGTAAAAATATCCAGGAGTTGCCTTATATCATCATATTGCTTTGCAGCTGTGGGAGTACTAGCAAGCACAGCTCTTTGCATTAATGTATCATGTTTAGTTTCATAAAAATGAGCATCTGCATTAGAGTAAGAAGCATGGCTTTTGTTAAGTTACAGTGCCTTCTGATGTCTCACGGACACTAGTGGTGCATGGGCTGAGCATCATCTTCAGCCACAGTAAGAAAGAGAGCACTCAAACACCTTTATTTTTCAGACAGCTTAAAAACAGAGAGTGAGATGTTTTCTACCTGAGCAAACAGTTCTGTGAGCACCCTACATACCTGAAATCCAGAAATTTAATGGGAAAAAGGTTCATGGACTTGGATGCCTTGTCTACTTGACGTGTAGTGAGCAACACAATCACTTGTGTGACATTAATCTCTGCAACAGCACTGTAACAGTTTTTCTCTTGAAATGGTCTGGATGGTGACCCATTTTCAGAGGGGAAGGAAAATATGAGATCAGTTGTAACTGTCCTTACCTAAAACAGAAATATGTAATCTGAAAATGTAATAAAGGTGTGGCACTTCCACTTCAGTGCAGCACATGTGGATGTAATCTCCTACCAGATCCAAAGGGGAGTGTTGCAGTCATGTGTCAGTAAGATTACATAAAACACAAACTGATGGAAAAGAGGGTTCCAAGGACTTGCCTCTAATAAGATGTAGCTTTATTACTGGCTGAGCCTTTCCAGAACCGTTCTGGTGTGCCAGAGGACATGTGCCAGGGGACAGGCAAATGACATAGAAATATAACGTAATTATGCTGACTTACACATATTTATGTTTGATCAGCAATGGTAGACAACTCATTGAAGCAAAAATTGGATGGCTAGATCAGAGGAAAATGCCTGGAATTGTCTGCAACTTCTCCAGACTATTCACTTCAGTGTGCATTGGTCCAAAACTGCCAAAAAGATTCATGGACATAGAAACAACGGGGCTTGGTCAGCTATGTAATGAGCAGATACACAAGCATGAATATGATGTGCATCCAGTTACACACTGTACTGTAAAGTGCTCTGTACTGTGGTGTAAAGCCAGTCTGGTGGTTGCCCCCATTCTTCTTGCTAGCTTCATTACTGGTGCTGCATTGGTAGGGAATCGGTAAAAAGCAGGCAAAGGAAAGAGTTTGTCTTACAAACTGTCAGCAGTTTCAAACTACACTTTCCACTTTCCACAAATGGCACGGAGATCAACACAATATTGTGACCTAGAACGCCTAAGCAAAATCAGTAACTATTGAAGTTACCTGAGATACCTCTACCTTTCCTGTACTTTGTGCTGGGAGTGCTTGCAGCACTATGTTGGGTTACAGCTGTAGCTGCAGGTAAATCTTATCTTCGTAAGATTATGTGAACATTTGTTATTATTTACTGAAAGAATTATTTAAAATTAATCTTGATCCTGTCTCTCATAGTTAAAAAAGAAGCCATCTGTAAAACATTTAATACATTATTTTCCCTTCTGCTAACTGTGATGACTGTGCCATATGATACTACATATGAGTAAATAAGTAAGAATTACTTGCCATTCTAATACTTATATAGTCTTTATACTTCTAGTGTTTTTTCTTCTAGCCAGCTCTAACCATGGGAATAGCTGACATGCTACATAATATCCAGTACCTCTTTTTTCTTCCTTTTTCACAGGAGACTTTTCCAGTGAAAACAATTTCAACAATTGTTGAACAACAATATTTTAACAATCCTTGTGTAAAACCTGACTAAGAAGTTACTTTTCTCTACTTTAACCATAAGAATGCCCCATAGCACCACAGCACAATTGGGTTACCTTTACACAGCTCCTTGATCTTTTGTCTAACCCTCCTGAAGTTTTCATATGAAAATCTTTTGAGAAAAACAGGTTCCAAATTCTCAGTTTCAAGTGTTGGACACCTAAAGGCATTGCTATATGAAAACTGCAGGCATCGAGGTCACTTGCTGGATCTTATCTCATTCCTTTTGGTAGTCTTGGAGATAATTTCACTATCAGGGAGCCAAATGCTTGGTTGTGTGATGACTACTCAGTTGTTACTCAAGCAGATCGCCACCAATTTCCATTAGCTTGCCTGATGGACACAGTGAACTGTGTCTGAGTGTGTGCTATGTTAACAAATTGAAACTATTAGCCATGACAAACAGACAATTTCAGAGCTACACAGATCAAGTGACCAAAGGAATCTACTTTATAGATTCATTTCAATTACATGCAAGCTGCAATGTTTGATGTTTTATTTTCCCACTGAAAACTAATCATCAAGAATATATTTTTACCTTAGGCTTCCCTTTAACCAAATCCTTGTGAACAAACTGGACAAAAGAAGAAAGAAACAGAAAATAGATACAGACTTGTCTGTGTTTACTTTTAAGGTAATCACAAAGTTTTGAAAAGGCCCCACACTACGCATCTGAGCAGCCAATGTGATCATATGCGCTACAGAGAAAACTGAATATGATTGTTGTTAGACTGGGTAATACAACAGAGGCAAGTATACTTTGAAAGAACAAAAAAATACAGGAAACGTACTTAGAATGAGAATTACTTACCTGGTACTCTAATAATTTTCAACCCAAATTATTTGGAAGGTTTTCAGAAAAGGCTGAACATTTTAATGAAATAAAAGACATTGAATAAAATAAATAAAAGCGTTAGAGAAGCTGATGCCTTCCACCTGCCAGGGGCACAGGAGTGAAGGGCCCTTGAGAGGTTTCCATTACCTAGGAGGTAAGCTGAGGCAGCTAACTGAATAGCGGCACCTAACTTCTAGGTCCCTGAAGTTAAATGAATACCTTTGGTATTTTACACAGATCTGGGTATGGTATTTCTGCATCCTCTAATGGCTATTATAGGGAGGTAATTGCTACCACTTATCAGTAGCCAAGAAAATCACTACTCTTTCAGTACTTAGGAAGCCACCCTTAGTCTACCTCCTGGCTGTTGACCAAGGGGTTCTATGAGGCTTAAAAGCAAGTAAAAGCAAAGAAAACCATTGCTCCTTATCCTGTCACTACAGATTCTGGTAAAAAGTCTTTCTTTATCTTTCTTATAAACCCTTATTCTTATAAACTTATAAAGTACTGAAAGGCCACAATGAGGTTTCCCTGGAGCCTTCTCTTCCCTCGAGTGAACAACCCCAACTCTCTCAGTTTGTCTTCATAGCAGAGGCAACCCAGCCCTTTGAATATCTTTGTGGTCCTCCTCTAGACCCGCTCCAACAGGTCCATGTCTTTCCTGTGCTATAGACCCCAGAGCTGGAGTTCTCCAAGTGGAGTCTCACCAGAGCAGAGTAGAGGGGCAGAATCATCTCCCTCGACCTGCTGGTCATGCTTCTTTATATGCAGCCCAGAATACGATGGGCAAATCATATTGTTCATATCAGATGCCGAAGCCTTTATTTTTGTTCAGTTTTACAATCAGATTTCTAATGCTAATGTTAAATGCAAACCTTACATTTTGGAAGTATCACTCAAGATTTTACTAGCTCTGCTTTTAGTAGTGGATAACAAGATAAAAATGGCAATATTTTAAAAAAAATTACTAAGTGCTAGCAAATGTTATCATGTTAAGGTCAAATATTTTCAAGCTATAGAACAGAGAAGCAGAAAACTGTGTAACAGACAACTAAAATCTATAGCAGAGCATTCC